TGACAAGGGTCGCCCACCATAGTGGGGTGGCGCCCTCGATCAGGGCGCTAATCAAAGGCCCAACTGAACCGTTGGGCCCAATTTGGAATTAGAGATCAATCTAAACACCCAACAGTGCAGCAACATCGGATTTTGCAGTGCAGAGGCACTCCAGGCAGCCAGCACCGTGGCCGGAGAGGAACTGCGCAACGATGGAGAAGCAGATGCATTCCAGCAGAGGCTCGCACTAGCAAGTGGTGGCACTCTGCAGCGTTCTGGCTCCACACCTCCATTGATGCGTCACACAGAGACCTGATGGCAGCCCAGCCGCGCTGGGCCATGGCCCTCGTCCGCGCTTGCGCTCGTCGGTGCCGTGCCGCACGCAGTCAACGATTATACCTGTAATATGAATTTACTAACTTACCCTTAGCTCAATAATAAAAAATATAGAAAACTTAGCATAATTGGTACCTCTATTTTTTCTAGCCACTCGATCTCTCCACACCAAAGGTCCTCAATTTTCCTAACAATAATAAAATTTCTTTGCCAAGATATATCAACACGTGTCTTATTTTAGTTTCATTTTTCAGCAATATAATTCTCTTTGGGACCGTACATAGATATATGTCTTATGATATTATTCTCATAAAAAAAATTACATGGAGACATCGAGACTATAAGGATCATGTGCTATATGGTTGACCAAGTTTGGTTTTGCCGTTTTGATGAATTGAATGGCTAGACAAACACTAGAAATAGCATGTCTGATAAGATAAGATGTATTAAACAAATTCTAATAATTCTAGAGATGTAAGAGAAGAAGTGGCGCAAAGGCCGGCCAGGGGCCATCCTGCGCTCCCCGCCCCCTCCCTACATGGATTTTCAAAGGACCTTGTGTTTCACTGTCTGTATACACTCATATCTCATCCACACTGGCCTCTCTGTTCATTATCCTGTTCTGTTGTTACTCATCTTCGGAATTTCAATTGAATAGATGCTTGGTTGCATGCTTAAAATGAGAGGAATAGCCAGCTAGGGAGATCTGGTCTAGAGCTTCATCCCCCCACGGGCCCCACCCCAACCCCCACCCCACCCCGCCCCACCTAGTGGCTTACGGGCATTGCCCCCCTCTTCATTTTAGGGCACGGGTATACTTTCTCAGTGGCGCCGCTACTCTCAAAGAAAGAAGTTTCTATTGGATAGTAGAAAGAAAAATAATGTTAGTGGGCAGTGGCCACACAAAGAACGCTGCTTGAAAACATCGATCTTTGCGCCAAGAAAGCATGGCCTTGACGTGAAGCGAAGCAGAGTAGTAGAGCATGTAGGTCCTGCCGCCCACGAATCCATGACCATGATGGATAGCAGGCCACCGAGGAGTCAAACACATCTAAAGTCTTAGATTCTAGAAGGGTGGAAAAGTATGTGCCCGGACATCAACCAATTGTTTGTCCATATTTTGTTGAAACGTTTGCATCCGATATTGGCTGATTTAGGATCGGATCCACAGATTTGTTTGGATGCAGACTCGGCGCCTCTGTCGGACCCACTGGTTATTATAGCACAAAATCAAGGTCTATCGTCCCCCTTGTGAGTTTCTGAAAATGAGGTGAGATGGTGACCGCTGAACTTCTAGATGATATAGTACGGAGTACTACATATTAGCAGCCCTACTATGTTGTGCAGTTGCGGACGCAGCTTCAGCAGAATACTGTGACGGATTAGCCCTTGGCCGGTTGGCCCTTGCCGCCGTGCGAGCGACTGCTGCTCGTATAAAAGATGAGAGAATTATTTATTTGACATCAAAATAAATCAGTGTTTCGTATTTGGTATTTAAAAATTTGAACTTTTCTATCTGGCATGAAGTTAAAATTTCCTTTCTTAACTGGCACTGCCGTCCATTTTCATTGCTTATCTGTTAGTTGACTGTCAGTTTTTTCTCCTTTGTCCAATGTACCCCTCTGTTTACGTAAGACTGAAATTTAACCGAAACCGAGCCCCAGAATCCCAGATCCGGGCCACTGTACGAGGCTGCCCACGAGTTTGACCAGGACGTGCTCGTCTCCGTCGACACCGCCGCGGATATGGTGTACTTCGTCCTCGATTTCGACCGAGGCGTGCCCGTCTCCATCTCCGCCGCCTCCAACCTTGTCCAGAACTCCGCCAGCGCTTCCGCGCTCCGCTCGCTCGTCCACTACTCCGTGTCCGGGCGCTGGCCCGGGTACACCTCTGTCCCCATCAGCCCCGGCGGCCCCGAGGAGATGGAAATGAACACCAGCGCCTCGGTCACTGGCGTGACGCTCGCCAGGAAGTCCGACTCCGTCAGCTCCGCCCCGGCATCCGGATCCGGCATCGGCCACATGGTGAGGTTGGGCCCGCTCATGTCCGCATGGAACGCCGAGCCCAGCCTGATGATGGTGGCGCCGGTCTCCACGAGGTCCGCGACGCAGTCCATCGCCGGCCTCCACGGCGTGTCCGAGCTCACCACCACGCAGCAGCCCCGACTCTCCTACCACCACGGGATGCGAGCAGGCCACCCCACGGGAGGCCGCCCTTAGCCTTGCTCGACGAGCCACGTACCCGTGCTAGGGCCAGTGTCGGCGCGCTCCGAGGCGTGCTCATGTAGGCCATGCTCACCTTTGCGCGGCCATGGTGGAGCGGAGCTCCGGGCGCACGCGCTCGCCGTTGCCATGGCTAGCCGAGGGCGAGGCCGACCACCATCTCGCAATGACAATGTTAGCCCTTCGCCCCTTGCATCGCGAGACCGGCGGCGGCGGCTCGGCAGCTCTTCCACGCCTTCTCGTCCGGTGTACTTGTCGTGCTCCCACGCCAAATACGAAACACAGAAGACTCCCACGCCATCCCCGAGGCACTTGTCGGGCTCCCTGACGATGTTGACCTCGTCGGCGGCGACGTCGGCATTGAGGTCCTGGTTGCGGTGCCACCGCCAGAGCGCGTGCGTGTCGTTCTTCACCTCCAACACGCCGTGCCCGAAGTTGCTCTTCCCAGTCGCTACCCAGTAGTCCGGTTGGCGGTCCCAGCAAGCGCGCCCCGCGGCGGGGCCCGTCGTGAAGTTGGTCGCGCAGAGGCGGCCGCCTATGAAGGGGTCCGGCGTCGACGCGCGGGTCCGGGTAGTGGTCCGGGTCGTCTGCGTGCGCCGTTGCCATCTTCTCACGGTTGCCGCCCGTCGCCCACCGAGATGTACACGGGCCGCATATACGTCCGGCGTGTAGTTGAATACCCAGTTCGACCGCTCGCCAGACGCGTGCACTGGTGGACATCGATCACGATCACCGTGTTCAATCGTTCTTCATCTCGCACCATCGGTGAGGCGCAAGGGCAAGGCTTACATGGTCGGTGAAGACGACGCCGACGCCAGTGGCGTAGAGGAGCTCCTCCATCTCCACCCTCATGCACTCGGCTTCCTCAGAGTGAGCCTTTGTACGTGGTGTACCAGCGCGTGCGGTACCGGGCGATCACCACGCCGCCCATGCGCCCGCCGCCATCCCCGAGGTCGCGACAAGCGGCGGCTGCGCGACGCCAAGACAGGGCAAAGACCGAACACGCGGCAAAGCGAAGCTACAAGTCGGGCGCCCGGGGATGGCGGCAAGCGGCGCCACAGTCCAGCGACGATCGGCGAGTGGCGGAGCCGCTCACGGCGAGGCAGCGGCGCGCGGAAGACCTCGACGGAGGGAAAGACGAAGCGGACCTCGCGTCGCGGCAATGAAGTGGGAGCTCGCATGCAGAAACCACGACAATGGCGCGGTGCATGGTGGTGGTCAGTGGTGCTTGCGGACCCTCACATGGATGACGGCGGCGGCGAGCGGACACGGCGATCATGATGACCAGCAGCGGCGGCACTAGCGAGGTTGCGGCAAAGCGAGCTAGGCACTCCGTGGGGCGCGACACGCCATCGCCCCGCCTCCTTCGATCGGTAGGGCGGCGATGCGGGGACGTTGGTACGGGGTCTATGCGTCGGGTCGCCAGGGCGATGGCACGGGGCTGCGCAAAGAGCTCCGGCAATATGGTTCATACGAAAATACTTGAACTTCTCTATTTGGCACCATGGATTTCTGCTGCAAAACAAGGGTATTTATGTCTTTTTACCGGCCACTTGACACCGTTACTGTCCTAAATGGACGGCAGTGCCATTTACGAAAGGAAATTTCAACTTAATACCAGATAAGAAAGTTCAAATTTTCGAGTGCCAAATACAGAACACTGATTTGTTTCAATGCCAAGTAAATAATTCTCCCATAAAAGAATCCAGGGCGTTGGGCCAGTTTTTTCACCAGCAAACAGCACACATCATGCACGCAGCACCATGAAACGGCACAATTCACAGTACATGGCGTGATGGTGACAAGCAAAGCAATCAGATTGATTTGATGAACTTTTATACGATTATTAATATGTTGCTCGTGGTTCGACTTGGGAGATGGACGCAGTCACGCAGACCTTTTTTTTCCCAATGGAAAACAAGCAATTCTATCTCTTGAAATGTTCAGAAACCAGAAACAGCGCGAGACGTCTGCATTCACCACGCAAGAAGAGTATGCAAAGACACCGCCATATATTACTTATCTTCTAACCACGTCCACGATCAGTACATCACCCAAGAAGAAGAGTATGCAACGGGACAGACCAATCGCTTTCTTCTCATAGCTCGACTGCATTATTGCTGTGGTCATCAGCCTTATCTCGATCATGTCGGAGTATTAAGTTAACCGATCCTATCACAATCTCACATGGCCGCGCAAGTCATACATACACTACTACACATCCAGGATCCAAAACAGAGGACGTCACATACCATACATTTCAACATTTTTACAGGCCGCAGCGATGCGTGCAGCAAGGCTGCGCTATGCTTTCAGGGAGCATATCGCTCGGTCACAAGTGAGTCCAGTGGCTGCGGGTGCGGGGATCTTCGCGTTCCCAACCAATCGCAAGATTCTGCGGCCCGACGGGGACTGCGGGGGCCGCACCAGCCGCAGACGTCGAAGATCTTTCTTCACATATGGTCACCAGCACTGGTCGGTCTCCCAGGTCCGGCGGGAACGGTGCGCGGGGAACGAGGGCGAGCGCCCGAGAGCGACGGTGCGCGGTCCCACGGCGGCGGCGGCGGAGAGGAGGCGGCGGCGGTCGTAGTCGGCGCGCTTGTCGGGGTCGGAGAGAGTGGAGTAGGCCGCGTGGACGCGGATGAAGTCCTCGGCGGAGGAGGCGGCGGGGTGCTGCGGGGCGGCGGCGTCCGGGTGGACGGCGAGCGCCAGGCGGCGGTACGCGGCCTTGATCTCCCGCGCTGGGCCCCCGGGCGGAGGTCGAGGACGTCGTAGAAGGAGCTGGCCGCCGCGTGGCCCGGCGCCGCGGTGGCGACGGTGGAGGAGAAGGAGGCGGAGAGGGGCGGCGGCGCGTGGAGGCGCGGGGACGGCGGCGGCGACGCGGCCGGGGAGCCGGGCCGGAAGGCGAGGAAGCGCGGGGAGAGCGCGGGGCGCGGGGAGATCATGCTTGCTGGTGGGGGAGCCGTGGGACGGGAGAGAGGAAGGATTGGGGTTGACCGATGAGCCTGTAGGATGCGGAGCGGCGGATGGAGCGAAGATTTTGAGAGGCGAGTTGGCCTTTGCTGCCGGCTCCCCCGCCATTTATCTCGCGCGCGTCGCTTTCCGCCGCGGGTTGGGGCGCCCCTGGTCAACGTTCTGTGTGGGCTGCCCGTATTGGCTGCTGCACTGGATGACTTTTATTTTGGGAAATCGAGATCGAGGGACGGGAATCTCACAACTCTCGGTGTACCATGACATGGCCCACGGATGATGGACGGATATGATTTTGAGATAAAGTGTAGTACTGGAAACCGTCGGCTGCAGCCTGCAGGGCATGGGCATGGTCGCATGGACGCATGGTCCATCGCTACTTCCCGGCCACTGGAATAATCGGAGGGACAAGAATGGCATTTTCAGCTAGCATCATCACGCCTCCAAAAAAATCAAACTCCCAACTTCCTGCCATCTTGCCATTGGAAGGACGAAAGGGCTGGGTTTGACTTGTACAAAACTCCGTCAATGTTATAAGAATTTCTAAGTGTTCCCTTTACTATCAATCGTATCTTTTTTTTCTATCCCTTATATGCCATTATTCTCATTCTTACCAAAAACTGATTAAAAGATTTGCGTGTTTTTTTTCTGGCAAATTTTCATTTATACCCTTTCAACCTCCACCTCTCGGTGGATAGAAGCAAGAGCAGATCTAATACTAAACCACACATCACACCCACCTTCCTTCGACGGGGGTAGGATCCGCGGGAGAAGCGGACCATGCGGTTTTGCGGAGACAAAGTGGACCTCTCACGGTCCCGTTGGACTATCCCGTGAAGCAATTACAACCGGTCGACATAAGCCACTAAAGCCATTTTGTGAAGGTGAATTTATAGGGTTATGGTAATTACCCACCACACTAGCATGCGTAATTGGTGATTAGTAGGTACATTAACACAACACAAAAACATATAATTGTTAGGCATATTTCGCATAGATTGGGAATAGGATGAAAACGGGATAAATATGGGTTCATCTGAAAAAGAGATCTTGCAAATATAAAAACGGATGGGGCAAAATAGAAAACGGAGCTGAGATAGGACATAATCTTTTTGTCTGTTTTTATCCCTACTCCTAGAGGATGTTTGGTTGTCAAATATTTATCTTGCCTTACTAGCTTAGGCGAGGCAAACCTTGCCAAGTTAGGAGAGAAGAACCGGTTCCCCACCCAAGCAAGGGAAGAACCTGCTAACGTAGACTACGAGGTGAGTTAGCCGGTTATCTAAAACACGAGGCATGTTTGATTCTTTTAACAATCTTGTGTTGCCAGACCATTTCCACTCTCTAGCTTTGGAAGAAAAAAAATTCTAGCCAACACAAGCTCTAAGGTGCTCTAGGTAGATATCCGAATTAGCATCACCCTTCCATAATCTTGCTTGGTGAGGTCAAACCAAACTTGCCCTCACATATCTAGCTTTAGACCATTTTATTTAGTAAGGCAAAGTATACTTTGATTCGTTCCCGTTCTATCGTAGCTTAAGCCAAAACCTGATCAAGTCCGTCTCACCAAAAGGAGCCAGAGCCACACTAGGGGGCTCATTTGGTGGAGCTCCTGCTAGCTTCAATTTTGATTTCTTCATATATTGTAGTTATACTATAACTATGTGCTGTTTTCATCTGTTCTAAAATGAACTAAAATAAATTATTTTTATTTTCTTCTAAAATAAATTAGAAGTCAGTAAAATTCTTACTCCGTATCTTACTTTTGGGCACCAGCTTCACAGTATAGCGTGGTAAAGTGCCAGAGCCGGATAAGGCATTGTTTGTTTCTGAGGAACCGTGCCTTGAAACGATTCCTACCAAAAATGCTTGGCTAATTTAGGGAAAAAAATTCGGTGCAAACTGTATCCATCGTGCCTCCCTGCATACATGCCATGGATAGTTGCCACGTGTCCGGTCAACACGATCCAACCGCACGCCTAGAAGATTTCCTCGCATGTTCACATGCGGCTTCGGTTGCCTCCCGCGCTCGCTGCTTTTCCGCCTCCACCATGCGCGGTTGAATCGTATTGACTGGACACGTGGCAACCATTCATGGCATGTATGTAGAGAGGTACGGTGGATACAGTTTGCACCGATTTTTTTCCCCCTAATTTAATCAGCTGAAATGATTTTTGGGTGGAATCCTCTCAAGTCTCCAACCGAACGAGACCTAGACCTGCTAAACAGGCCAAAAGTAGGAGCTAGTAGGATCCAGCCCGGTTCGACTGGAGATAAACCGTTCGTCTAGCTTGGCTCGTCCCTATCCGGTACCCTTCTCTCAACTCTCTATAAGCCGCACCGTGGTCGAAAGTCGAAAACTCGAAACTATCCGCCGCTGTAGTAGAAATGCTCTCGTTGCGGCCACACCGCACCACCTTCTCGCGCCCCTTGAGTTGGCCGAGACGGGGACGCCTTGGCGGAGCCGCCGCGCCGCACTATGTTAGCGCCGCGGCACCGGCGGCTGCTCTGGAGTCAGCTGCGCCTCCGGAGAGCGTCTCCTTCCCGATTCTGGTACGCATTCCGCTGGCCGCCTCCAGTGTGCTGCTAACCTGTTCGATGAAACGTTGCTATGGAGATTACTGGCTCAGTTTGTTTAGGGGGAGATTACTGGCTCTGTTGTTCTGCGCAATGGTTTCCACGTAGCACCTATTTGTTCGATGTAATGCCACAGCGGGGTTACCTGTTGTCCTAGGCCTCGCCGGTGGCTTGGACTGCCTTTTGAGGGGATCAAAGGGTTCACATAATTTTAGATTTGGATTCAGATGCGTCTTTTGCACTCTAGAATCTTTGGAAGATGATTCTGCATAGAACCTAATGCCTGACCAAATGCGCTCACGGCTGTACATTTTCTTTATTTGGGGTTGATCATGAGTCAAGCTTCGCTTTCAGATTTTATGTTACTCTTTCCTGGGAGAGTTTAACTGAGGAAGAACACCACCATATGCTTAACCTGGTTCCACAATGCACATACATGTGCTGTCCTCTACACAAGCTAGATTTCTGGTTAGTTGATGCATATCGGGGTAAAAGTATAAGTAGTTGGTCAAATATGAAGCTGGCTTCCCTGGGTGCAAAGGTGGCTTCTTTGGCTATCGTGCTTGCATCTATAATTTGCATAAAGCAAGTGCAAAGATGCAAATCTTCCTGAATTTTCTTTTTCTCAACGAAAATCCTGCTCAACAATATCTTATGCTGATAGAAACTTTTCTGGGTCATTGGAAATATCAAAACTGTATAAGAATTTTATGCAATCATAAAGAAAAGGAGTTGAAAAGGAAAATACATAAGCATACCTGATCAACTATGCCAATTTCAATTTGTATGAGGTGGGCAACTTGTTTAATATTTTACATTGGAAGCTAGTATCCACTGTTCTTGCTTCATATGGTAACAGTTTTATTACCAGAACTTTTCAAAGATTCCCAGGTCTCACATTGAATAATGCTATGCTAAATGCCAATTTTTATTTGAGCAGTTGGGTACAATTTTGATGTAGAATAGCTGTTCAGATTTCTTCTGTCTCCTTTTTTTTGGAGGAAACAGGAGTGGACAGGCCCCTACTTATTATATATATTAAAAGAAATAGGAGAACATTTTGAAAAAGAAGGCAAACAGACTATCTTGCTTAATTGAAGGGACCTGATCCTTTTGTTACTTAGTCTTTTCATTTGTTCCATTATTTAGGTGAATGGCTGCACTGGTAAAATGGGGTTATCTGTCGCTGAGGCTGCTGCTCTGAGGGGCCTTCACTTAGTCCCTGTTTCATTCAGTAGTAGAGAGAAGGTTGAAAAAGCAATACAAGTTGGACAAACAGACATTCGGATATATGGTCCTTCTACAAGAGAAGATGTTCTTTCATCTATCGCTGATGAATTCCCAGATGTCATTGTTGTGGACTACACAGCACCTGATTCTGTGAACTGTAAACAGTTTAACCTTGTTATTTTCTCAATGCGCTATATAAAGTTCTTAGTACATGTTATGATCACTTTACCCTACGCAATCATGATATTGCAGTTTTGAGAAATTCCAAGTCTTCTTGCTAGTTTGTGCTAATTACTAAACATGCTGTTATAACATCGTTTTGCTGCTATGTTCACATCAAAATGTATATTCAGGAATTTTGTTGTACATTTTTTTGTTAGTTTTATGCTAATGATCAATGTTTTCAAGTCGTCCAGTCGAACCTAGTCGCCATGGGACCGACTAGGACGATTAATCGCGATTAATCGGACGACTTGTACAAGTCGACGGTATCCCTAATCAGTCAGCAGGGACTGATTAGGACGATTAATCGTGATTAATCGGACGACTTGAAAACATTGCTAATGATTACATTTCAGTTCTTACATGGCAGGATAACAACAATTATAAGAAAAATACATTTTTTATGCCAGTCAAATTTCACGTAGAACATCTAGGAAGCTATCAAATTTAGTTCATTGTTGCTGAAAGCCTTGAACTCTTGCTTTTACTTCTGAAAGCAAATTGCAGATTTTTTATCCTTTTTTCTACCTTTTAAATGAGACTCTTGCATTATGCAGCTAATGCTGAGCTCTATTGCAAGCTTGGCTTGCCATTTGTGATGGGCACAACTGGTGGGAACAAGCATTTGCTCTACAAGTCAGTGCAAGATTCAAAAAGTTATGCTCTAATATCTCCACAGATGGGCAAACAGGTATGCTAAAAAAGAATTATCTATCTCAAATGAGTTTAAAACTATTAGTTTTCATTATTATACTTCAAATGTTGAAAACACAACCTGTATAGTTTCCTTTCATTCTTCAATCAGGTGGTTGCATTTGTTGCTGCAATGAAAATCATGGCTGAGCAGTTTCCAGGGGCTTTTTCAGGCTATCATTTAGAAGTACAATTCTAACTTGAGTGTTTCCATATGAATTAAAAGTTTCATTGTGTGTAAGGATTTAAACTTCTAGTGTACACCAGCAATATATCATCTCTCAACCTTGACATATGTCTTGGGGAAGGATGCTCAGTAAGTTAAGCTTCTTTTCAGGTTCTTCAATCAATTGTCTGGCCTGAGACTTTAAATGCTAAATTTTGATATGTGGTCATACCATCTGCCAATACCTGCAATTCTGAGTGTCAGGATTCCTTTTTCCAGGTTTTAGAATCCCATCAAGCTGGCAAGCTGGACACATCTGGTACAGCTAAAGACGTGATTGCTTGTTTTGAGAAACTAGGTGTGTCATATGACATGAACAGGGTATGCTTTATCCTTTATGCTTGAAAACTTTAATTTTTCATGATATGAGAGGAAAGCTGTTTGTGCTCTGGAAACACATCAATGCAGTTAAAACTACCACAATATTTTCATGGATCAAGATCTCTTCCTTGTAAATTTCTTTTGCTGTTCTCATGAACTCTTGACTTTTCATTTTCAAATTGCAGATACTGAAATATTTCCTCGGATCGTAAATATAAACATTTAGGTTTGTCCTAAGTCAAACTTTTTAAACTTTGACCATCAAATCTAAAATTTTGTATAAATTGACAAAATAAGATTGACATTACTAGTTTCACCTTGAAAATAGTTTCATAATATATGCTCTTTTCACTTTTTTTCAATGATAATATACCTTTATAGACGAAGTTAGAAAAGTTTGACCTAGGACAGACCTAGATGGACTTATATTTGTGATCGAAGGAAGTAGCGATTATAGATAATGACTAAAACTCGTGGTAATATTCTGTTGATATGAGGTTAAATGGTTTAAACAAATCTAAGAAAAGCATTGTAGAATTTGACCAAAAAAGGTGGCTCCTTACAATCAGAAGGTGGAATTTATGTAGGATACGTCTAACAATATATCCTATGTACATAACTGATTGTACAATTGTGGATTTCCATGGAAAAAATTGTTCCATCATTTTACAATATGGGGCCCATGTTTTTCATTTTCGGAGTTGTTCTATTAGGACGGTGTTTGAATTGGTTCGCACACACACATCATGCTCTATTGCTATGTTGTGTTACATGTTTTTATCCTCAAAAGAAAACAGAAATCTTACTATATGATGCTTATTACCATGTGCTGGCAGATGGTTAAGATTAGAGATCCTGAACAGCAGCTTGAGATGGTTGGTGTCCCTGAAGAACACATTCAAGGGCATGCATTCCATTTGTATCATCTCACTTCTCCTGATGACAGGTAATAACCATTCTCCTGAAAATTGATGATACTGCCAATAAAGTAATTATACTCAATCATGGATATTTTTAGTCTTGCTAATACATCAGAGCAATTTTAAGCATGCTATTTTTCATCTTTGTTGATTTAATTGTGTTCTTTTAGTGTTTCATTTGAGTTCCAGCACAATGTTTGTGGCCGTTCAATCTACGCTGAAGGAACTATTGATGCGGCAATATTTCTGCATAGGAAGGTTGGCTGATGTATTACTTCGGTTATTTTTGTAAATGGTGCTGCGTTTCAGATATTGCTGGTATCTTACTCGTATTCTTTAATGTAGGTACAATCAAAGGATTCTAAGAGAATATATAATATGGATGATGTCTTGCGAGAAGGATTCATGCGATAAAGTCTACTGATTAGCTGCTCATAAGCGCAGTACTGTTTTTTGTTAGTCTATGGGGTAGATATATTAATAGAGGTTGCGTGTGAATTAAATAAAAAGATTATGCACTAAGTTCTTGAAGTTTCTATCAAAATAAAAAACATATGAAAAAGAGAACGTACATAAAAGGTATATAAGTTTATTTTAAGGTCAAAGAGCGATGAACGTACTGTTCTAGAGAAAACATACATATAAGGTATATAAGTTGAAGTTTATTTTAAGGTCAATGAGCAATCAACGTACTGTTGTAGTAATTTAAATAACTGAGCACATTCATGAACTGCCATATTACACTTCTTACGTGTCGGATTCTATCCTCTGGATAAAACCTCCATGAGAGTTTGGTTTCATGAAGTATCGCGCACCACTTTGAAGTTTGGACATTCATATCTAGATCATTACATAGATAACATGGAACATGTTTTTGCTGCCGTCTTCGGGGCAGAATCTTCCGGTTATCATAACTCTCTCATTCATTGTCTAAATTAGACGTTCCACATGCGATTTGATCCGATCGTCTTGATGAGAGCTACGCCATAGTGAACTCCATTTGACCATTTGAGATCATCTCCAAAACCGGATCATCTGGTTTCGGAAACTGGATACCCCAGTTTTTCCAAACTGTCCAGCCTACCATGTTTTGTCGCTGACATAAGTGTTGAAGAATAATACATTGCCCACCTTTACCCATTTTTGATTTTTGGGTAATTGGGTTGAATATGCGAGGTTCAATAGGAAAAATGACATGCTTCTGTTGATCCCAACATCTTGCACAGAGTTATACTAAATAAAAACAGTTCATAGGAAATTGCACAAGGTTCAACTATGTCCAATAGATAGAACACACACTCTTAGGCTGACCCAACCTTCATGCTGAACTAATCAACGTCACAGACTTATTCTGAGGAAACTGCATAACCTGCAAAAGCCAAGAAAACACTGACCAAACGTTCTAGTGCTGAGTCTCCATCGCAGCAGGAGGAAAGAAAGGCAACAACTTCTTGAAGAACGGGAGCACCTTCTTGAAGAGCTACGGGGCAGTGACAGCGTCGCGCTGCGCCGGCGGGTGGTAGATGGGGGTTGACTTCGGCGGCGAATACACCGGCGTCGTCGACGGTGCCGTGGGCGTCGATGGTGGAGTGCCCACCGGCGTCGACGGAGGCTTGTGCTCCGGCACGGGCACCGGCGCCGGTTTGTGCTCAGGAACGTCTACCGCCGGCGGCTTGGTGACAGGCGGAATGGAATGGCCGTGCCCATGATCAGGCAGGTGAGGGATACCCACAGGCGTGTGGATTCCTACGTGATGGTGATGGTGCATAATGCTGTGGAAGAAAGGGTGGCAAAGGAAAGCCGAAGCGCACTCGGGCGACGAGCGGTGGACCTTGCCGCCGAGCGCAACGAACTTCTTCTCGGTGCCGTCGTGGCCGCCGGGTGGCGCCGCGACGATCTTGGACGGCTCCTGCCCGGGGCACGGCGCACTCGACACGCTGTGGAGCTGCGCGAAGCATTCCGACTTGAGCTCCCCCGTCCTCGTGTTACGATCTACGATAGTACTTAGGGAATTTAGGATGGTAGCATACAGAATTCAGGGCAGTAGCAATGGATCCGAGTGGAGGAAGGGAAGCAAAGCACAAGGTTGGGGATCAGCGGAGTACTTGCAGGAGCAAGTGGTTGTTACAATATTCCTCAATGGTGATCTCTCCTCCTTTCCTATTACATATGTAAGTCAAGCACTATGCTGTATCATGCCGGGATCCAGTTGCTTCTGTGACGCGCGGGTTGGGCAGCCTTGGCCTACTGGAGCGCCTTGGCTGCGGTCCAGGCCCACCTGCTTCATCTTCAGAGACTTGCATGGGCTGTACATATCGGTCCAACACTGGACAATCCCTAACATTCCCCCCCATCTTAAGACTCGGCTTGCCCCCAAGCCGATGTTGAATTTAGAACCAGGGGGTGGCCATGGTTGTAGAAAAGTTATCATCAACATGACCAAGGGTTTCGTTGTAGGGAATAATATTGCAATTCTGAGGTGTAGCTGCCATATCTTTACTGCAACCAGTGTCACTGTCATGAGCTCACTGTCATGATGCTGAGGGTGGTGCAACATCGCCACATTTTCAGGTGGCATCCATGGAGACCGTATTGACTCAGTCAGTGGCTTGTGCAAGTATAACTCAACTGTATTTCCACTGAAAGATGGCCAAGGTGTTGGCCTAAGGTGAACTCCATTGCCCTGCATTCCAAACTGCTCAGGTGGTGGCCAAGGTTGCAGCACAACCCTCTTCCCCAGTAATGTACACAAGACCACCATGCCATCCGTGCATCCACCAAGCAAGCACTCCCTGGAGAACATGGCTTTGTCCAGTACTACTCTCAAGCTATGATCAAAACAGCGGTCTGTGCATGGATCCATCCCCTCCAAACCAACAAAATATGCTACAGCAAATGTCCATATACAATCCTGTATGTGCCCAAAGGACTTCCAAAGAGTAATAGGTGACTGTGATATCGTCGAATGCACTGGAACTGCATCTCTATCTACAACTAAAAAGATCCAAATGTCATCGTTTTTGCCCCGCTAATGACCCCCCGCCCGCGCTAATCCCCCTGCTAAACATCCCCGCCCCGCGAGCTTCGCCACGCCCATGCACCCACGCCCGCGTGAAACTGCCGCCTCCGCCCGCGCACGACTCCCTTCCCGCCCACGCCGCCTGCCTCCAACCGAACCCCGGTCTCCTTCTGACCCCTGCGCCGCCCGCTCCTGCTCTCTCCAATCCCCACGATCCGGCACACCTGGCCACCGTCACGCTGCCGCCGCGGAGAGCGCCTTGATACCTCTGCTCCCGGGCTCCCGGCCTCCCCCGACGGGCGTCCTCCGGCTCCGGCGCGGAGAGTGCCTCGACATCCCCGATCCCGGCCCTTCGTCCATAGGTGCGGGACGCGACGCTGCCAGACCGCCCCTACTCCGTCACGCCAGGCGAGGTCTCCGTCGCCTCCGCCGTCGTACGCCACGCGCTCGTCGACGACGCCAGATCGCAGGTCTCCGCTGTCGCGGCGCTCGGGTCTTCATCGGTCCCTTCGTCAGATCGTCGTCGGGCACCCAACAAGTATGCCTACGGTTCTTTGTGCTTCGATCTGAATGTTATCACTTTTCTTGTAGAACATATGATCTCCACTCCAATGAAGCATTTAGTTCAATGTCTCCCATCTTTGCCTTCTGTATAATTCTTTAGTTGAAGAGCAAATTTTTGTTCGCTGGAACGTCAGCCGTGACCGCGGAAGAGATATGCCGCTGTAGCACCACTCACAAATGGGCATTCTGGCATTCAAGTAGGTTCAGTAAATGTCGGGGACCAATACTAGGGTACCCTAAGAGGAGGGGCTAATGGTTGTTATACCACTACAGGACAGAAAGTACAACCCAAGGTCAAACTTCTGGTATCGTGCAGGGAGCGGTCACATCTCAACACGACCTGTCCCCGCGACATGTCATTCCAGGGGACTCACATCTCCCATAGTGACGGATGCGTGGTCACTGTGCTGTCTACTCCCTGTATGATCGCCGATCAGCACGCTGGGTCGCCACGCCGCCTGCCGAGGCGGGATGGGACGTCACGACCCGCTGACAACGCCAGGGCATGGCATCATCAGGCGGATAGGCGCTCGGCGTGGGGCTGTCCCTGTCACCATCGGCCATGTCAGCGGGGCCTGCACAAAGGAAAGGAAAGGCCCAGCGACCCTGAAGGACTTCCTTTCCCTCTCGTTCTTCTCTTTTCTCCCATTATAACCCGTGCTTTCCCTTGACCTATAAAAGGGAAAGCAGGACGTCCCATTAAGGGGCATCGGACTCGAATCACTCGAGATCACAACCCATCACACCACATCAGATCAGAACCACTAGCATCGAACCTCGAACACATAGCCGAGCAGCGACCGAGCTCTTGGCTCCCATTCGTTCTTTCCATCAGAGACTTGGAACCCGTCCCTCTCTCGACCGTTTGTAACCCCTAATACAAACTTTTCCGTGCTAGGAACACGAGCAGCAGCAACAAACTGGATGTAGGGACATTCAGCCCGAACCAGTATAAATCTCGTGTCCTCTTAGCACACCATCTGAGCCAGACACGCAATAATACAAATTTACTCGTTGGTGTTTACTCGAAACACTGACAGTTGGCGCGCCAGGTAGGGGCCTTTTGCACGTCTCGACGTCAACACCAGGCCTCGGATGGCTAGTAACAACATCACCTGGGTCCTGGGCGCGCACGTATGCTTCGGGGACCTGGACTTCATCATCACGATGGAGGGAGAGCTGGCGCGGGCACCCATCGTCATTCAACCTCTCCACTCCGCCGGCCTAGACGCAAACCCTGATTCGCTTGAGGAGCTACGGTTGCACGCACCGGAGGCCCACGCCCTCGGGAGCAGCCAGCTCCTCGGCTTCGACTATGGAAGGCTAGAGCGTCAGCTCGACGCCTTCTTGGGACCCCGACCGTCCCGGGAGGACCTGCGCCACCTCATCTTCTCGTTCGCTAACGTCATGGCATGGTTCACCGGGGGAGAACCCCTCCCCCCAGAATACCTCATCTGGTGTGCTCCGACAGTGCTCCCGTTCGGTCTTCGCAACTCCGCAGAGACCGTTGGCCACCTTGTGGCGTCACACATGCCTCCATCCCCCGTGAATGACGAGTTCGTGGGGGTGACCGAATACGTTGCGGAGTCTTTCCACGACCTTCTCGCAGAGGAGTTGGAGTCGCCCTCTGGCTCTGACTCCAGCAGGGGAAGCCATCACCCCTTTCGTGAATGCTTCATGGCAGGTACCTCTGAAGGACACATCAAAAGCATCTGTGAGGAGGAGGCTACCCCGACGAACGACCTCGACGATGAGGTTGAGGGTGATGCAGGGGCCTACCCTGCCTGCGGGTGGAGCAGCTTAAGGCCTGGCACCGAGAGCTCGAGGAGGCGCGACTCTAGCTCGAGCAGGAACATGCGGAGCTCGATCGCGAGATCGAGCGCCATGGGGACGGTGGGCGCGCACATGCCATGGCCCGCGACGTGAACTAGAGGATCATCGAGGATGATGAAGCCCTCCCACACTTCGCCCGGGTGAGCCAGAACATCGCTGCTGTGGCGGCCTTGCTCCGTGGGCTTCCAGGGGCCGCGACACCCAATGAGCGTTGGGCCCATCACGAGATTCGCACGCTGCTCGAGCACATGGTGGCACAGAGGGCGAGGAGCTCGTTGTCTCAGTGATGCGAGCTCGACGCTAGCCAGCGCACGCCCTCAGAGCGACCTGACAAGGATGCATCAGTCCACCTGGCGCCGCAAAGCGGTAGGCCACGCATCACGGTTTCAGTGCATGAGCGCCTAGGCCACAATCGTGACGTGCGCGACACCCTCGACTCCCGCAGGCGTACCCACGGCGATGTGGGGGAGGGGACTAGCCGCGGCTACCACCCACGACATGGTGGACGCTACGACAGTGGCGAGGAGCAAAGCCTAAGCCTCAGCCTATCGGGACCTCAGGCCTTCAGGCGACACATCCTCAATGCCGCCTTCCTACCAAGGTACCGACCACCTACCGACATCCCGAAATACTCTGAGGAAACGAACCCCGGACTATGGCTCGAGGATTATCATCTTGCCTGCCAAGCCGGTGGGGTAGATAATGACGATTTCATTATCGTAACCTTCCATTGTTCCTGGCCGACTCGGCGCAGACATGGTTGGAACACCTTTCGCCCAACAGAATCCAAAGTTGGGTGGACCTAAAAGAGATCTTCGTGGAGAACTTCTAGGGCACGTACAAGCATTCTGGGAACCCATGGGATCTAAAGAACTGCCGGCAAAAGGCCGGAGAGACCCTTCGTGGGTACATCCAGTGCTTTTCCCGGTAGTGCAATGAGCTGCCTAACGTCGCCAACGTCGACGTTATAGGAGCTTTCCTGTCTGAGACCACCAGCGAGTCCCTGGTTCACAAGCTAGGACGTAAGGGTCCGCGAACCACCAAGGAACTCCTTGACATCACCACCAGCCATGCCTCAGCCAAGGAAGTGGTCGGAGCGATCTTTAACCGCCTCAAAGGCAAGGCGAAGCGGGACGAGGACGTCGGGGAGGAGGGCGCCTCCAACCATCCCGTCAAAAATAAGAACAAGCAGCGGCGCGAGGGCTCGCTCGTGGCCGCCGCTGACCACAGAAGGGGTCGGAAGCCCTCAGAGGGTACTCTGAACCACTTTGAGAAGCTGCTCGAGGGGCCATGGCCGAATCATGCATTCCCCATCAAGCATCTATACAAGGACTGTGGCCTCATGAAGCGGTTCTTGTCCGGAGGCTCCAACAAGAGAGAGCACAGGAAGGATCCCGACCTGACCACGGACGATGCCGAGGGGAAGGACAACAGCTTTCGAAAGCTAGATGGCTGCCTCATGATCTTCGGAGGGTCGGCAGCCTACGACTCCAAGCGCCATCAGAAGCTCGCGCGCCATGAGGTCTATACGGCCGAGCCGGCCGCGCCTACTTTCCTTTGGTGGTCGGAGTCCGCCATAACCTTTGATCGGACCGACCACCCGAAGAGTGTCCCGCAGCCGGGGAGATATCCGCTTGTGGTTGACCCGATCATCGACATGAAGCGGCTCTCGAAGGTACTGATGGATGGAGGCAGCGGCCTCAACATCATGTACGCCGAGACGCTCGACGCCATGGGCATCGACCGATCACGCATCCAACCGACCGAAGCGCCTTTCCATGGCATCGTACCTAGAGAGCAGGCCATGCTACTTGGGCAGATCGATCTGCCCATCACCTTTAGGAATCCATCCAATTATAGGACAGAGACCCTCACCTTCGAGGTGGTGGGGTTCCATGGAACCTACCATGCCATCCTAGGACGTCCATGCTACGCGAAGTTCATGGCCATCCCCAACTACACCTACCTAAAGCTAAAGATGCCGAGCCTAGGCGGGGTCATCACCGTCGGCACCTCCTTCCAGCATGCCTATGAGTGTGAGGTCGAGTGCTACGATCATGCCGCGACAATCGTTGCCTCTAAGGAGCTTGAGGCCATCAGGAAGGAGGCCGCCGAAGAAGCACCCGACCCCAAGCGATCGACCGGGTCTGTCGAGCCGGTGGAGGGCGCTAAGGAGGTCCTCATAGACCCCAACAGTTCCAGGAGCAAGGTGGTCCGCATTGGCACTGCGCTTTCCTCCGAATAGGAAAGCGTGCTCATTGACTTCCTCCACACCAACAAAGACATTGTTTACACCAAAATTTGGAAGAAGATGTTACAAGGACTCAAGATCATGTCACCAAGGAATCAATTGCGTGTAGATCAGAACCAGCTGATTCAGATGCAGA